ACACAGGGTGAACCAATTAAATTCAAAAAATTAGTTTTTAGTGTATTTCTTTGAAACTTGATAGTTTTATTTACCAATATTCGTACAAAAAAACAGAAACAATTTTTGGTAAATGTTTTTTATGGAAAAGTTGTTTGTGCTATCGAACACTTTTAAGATGTTTTTGTTGGAATTCTCAAAAATGCTAAAGTTTGGTAGAGTGAAATAAAAAGAAATGTTTACAGTGCCTAATTTTTTATTTACTATTTTCGTACGTTTTGAAGTACTTTAATAAAATCTGTGAAGAAGTTTTAGATTTTTATGATGGAACTGTAAAAATCAAGCCATATTTAAGACATATTTCTTAAGTTTCAAAAAAAGTTTAGAGCTAAGTTATTGTATTGCCAAAATTGAAAAACTTAAGGTATTAAATTCTTTTTTTTTAATACTGCATATAAAAAATGAACCTTGTTTTGATATAGTGTATAATTTTTTTATTAAATAGCGACAAGCAATAACAAACAAGTTGGAAGTAATAACAGTTTTTTTTTTGGCGAAAACCCAAAATTTTTACGGGAATTGATAGAAGTCTTATTGATAATTTTAGCATAATATTAAGAGTTTTATCTTGCGTAATCCCGGTTAATGCTAGAACGTTAAGGAGCTGCTAGATATAACTAGAAACTCAGATTTACTTCAATATGGCTGTATTACATGCCAAGTACGGTTCATAAGGTTTTAGTAGTTACACGGCTGTGATGTTTTGGGACACTTGAACTCGTCAATAGGTAATAAGAAATTAAAAAATGTTTTAAAAGTTTTATTATTTAAGTGATGTGCCATTTTCCCATACAAGAAAATCGACGAAAGGTTTAATGGCTAATTGGTTATTAATATCGGATTCGGTACTGTCATCACTTTGGTATACAAAAAAACAAACAAGAAAATTATCAATCTGAAGAAATTGAGATATACATACTTAAAAGACAACATTATAAATTACATTTTTCAAGAAAATATTAAATTATAAATTTTTTCAATAGGTTTTGTGTTTTCCAGTTTTGAAATTGGTTTTTGTTTTTTTGTTTTATTCATCCTATGCTACATATATTCATAGTACTATGATATTCATTATATCATTTTTTCAATAACTAAAATTTATAAGGGAGGTAGTCATTACTGATACCAAAATTGTTTGGTGAGTTGAGTCTCCTTTCTCGGTATAATTTCGAAATCTACTGAAGGCATTTGGTTTGAGGTTTTCCTGTAAATTCGCTATAGATTTTGGTGGTGCACTTCAAAATCGTCATTCGCATAAAAGAGTCAATATTTGTGACAAACTAAATTCAAAAGTGTATGAAAAAATATGTCGAATTTTGTCAACTGGGCGATACTAGTTCGTTTAGAAAGGCCTCAGTTCGGACAATCTTTTTATTTCCGTAAACTTGTGCAATAAATGTTCGTATAGATATTCTTTGGAATTGAATGGTATACGCCACTGTTTTAGTCTCCACATCGTGATGCATTTCTAAAAAAAATTAACTCATTGATTTCAATAAGCTTCAAAGCTTTTTGTTACATACATATTTTCTTATGTATGTAGGTATGTACATGCTCGAAATTTTCCAAAAAGCACAATGCATTTGAGAAGATGTTTTTTCTAACTTAGTTGTTCACGCGCTTTGTTCATCCGCAGTTGACTTTAATATAACGGAGTGAAAAAATATTGAATTTTAATCATGAAATAAGGAAATTATCAAGTAACAAATAGTTTCCCTAATAAATTGGGACTTGGTACTCTTCTCACTATGGAAATACTCAAGTTATTAATAGTTATGTTAGAGTTTATTTTATACGTAAAAGCATGGTCGAATTCGTTCGAAAATAATGACGGCGATGGAAATATTCCGATAGGTATGTAAAAAAGCTACATATGCAGTATGTTCGCTATGTCAAGATTCAATAAAAATGTGTGAATATGCTCAATTGTGTACTCGTATATATGCACTAGGGATGTTTCGAATGCCATATTTTTCATATTAGCGAATGCGAATGCGAATTTTCGGAATGCGAATGTGCGAATGCGAATGTTAGGAATAACATTTAAAAAGCTATAATCGACTTAAGTCATCGTTTTTATTAATTAATAATTGTGTAAATTATTTGAACATTTAACGAGTGCGTAACCTATACAGTGCACTATGGTTTGACGACTATAATTTGCTGGCCAAAAGTCGAGAAGTAACCAAATAGATTTGAAACTTAGTGTTTGGGGGCTTTCGAGGGCGCTGATTTCGAATCTGATAGCAGATTTTTTAAATTCAAAATGGCGGATCCAATGTGGCTACTAAATTTTATAACTTTGTTCTTTATCACCAAAGTCTTATATGTAAGGGAGGTTTGGATCCAATATGGCGTTATCGGAAAAAAATTGTAGTTTAAAAAATTTGTTTAGTTTTTGCTATATATTTTTTCTACTCAAAGCAAAGTTTAAACAAACAAATGCAAGAATGCATTTTTCACCTACGTACTTGCATATCATTCTTGTTATTTCCATTGTGTATCTGCAGGATTTATTTATTTATTTATTTATGTCTATGAATTTCAATCCTTACAGACTATGAACAATTGTAATTTAGTACAAACTATTAATATACATTTTATATATATTTCAATAAAACTACAATACATAATTCAGAAAATTCAAAAAAGCAATCCCTGAAAGGGAAAAAATCCAGATCAGCATTACTAATAAGGGAATTCAATTCACGTAAAGCGCGAGTAATGGGGGCATTACTGGCGTACTTAGTTTTAAAGTTATCCACATAAAAAGGGTAGAAGTTCCTAAGAGATCGCTGGGGAACATTAAATCGAATCCTTTCAGTTTGAAGCTTAACAGCATCTTCTGCGGTCTTAATCACTGAGAAAATCTTTAAATTATCAGTATAAAGCAAAAATTTCGCAAATGAAAAACAGCTTGTGATATCATTAATAAATAGTACAAATAGGAGTGGTCCCAAGGCACTTCCTTGTGGGACACCAGAGGAGGCAACAAAGGGGGGATATGAGATACTATCAAATGTAACAACACAACTTCTATTGCATAAGTAAGAGGATAGACCAAAGCAGGACAATTTTTTATTAGAACTGCTGAAAGTCCATCGACATCAGTTTGGGAGGAAGATTTCAACTAAAGCAAAGTGTTACTAATATCCTCAGATGAAAGGCATAAAGCCCCGAAGTCCAAAGAGTAGTCTAGACTAGATGAAAATTCGCATGGCTGATCATGGTCTTCATCAACAAAATTGGATTTAAAAAACTCAGCAAATAAATTTGCCGCTTCACTTGAGGTTCGCGCTTAATTATTGTTTTTGGGAACACTAGCACTGCTCCTTTTGGATTTTATGTAATTCCAGAAGGTTTTAGGATTTGATTTAATGTTCAACTCCGATGTAGTTATTATAAAGAGATTTATTTAAGTAGTTGAAATTTTTTAAAGCTCGTTTATATTTAACGAAAAACGAATGGTTCTTCGTGGACTTAAATTTCTTAAAATAATTGCTTTTTTTAAGATTTTTAAGCTTTTTTAAATCCTTAGAATACCAGGGTATTTTATAGGGGTTTTTCTTTCTAACCGGAATATTATCCAAGCAGAGTTTACACAAAATGGATTTAAAAATAGTAAAACTGTAAATTGTATCAAAATCTGCAAATAATTTATCCCAATTAATATCGAATAGTAATTCATTAAAACTAGAAAAATCGTATAATGCGTAATTAAAAGATAATATGTCATCAGAAGGTACTGAAGCAAAATAGTAGAAACCGAATTTTACAACTAAAGGTAAACACTAACTTTGTAGGTTACGTTATCACTTACAAAATTCTATTCAAAGAAATAAGGAAATTATTAAAATGACATAAAAAAACTAGCATAGGTTAAAATCACCTAGCACACATAAATGATTATCATTTAGGTTATTTAAAACTAGAGATACCACATTGTCAGCATGAGCTTTGTACTACTCAAATGAACTATCAGGTGGTTTTTACGCTTCGTAATAATAATAATGGTATATAAATTATAGCATTGCAAAGTCATATTCAATGCTTGCATTTATCCGTCGATTTAGCTCGGACTTCACTGATCCATATACCATAAAATTACTATACACTACTCTTGTTCGTTCTAAGCTCGAGTACGCTGTCTTCATCTGGCGACCATATTATGAATGTCATATCAACAGAATTGAACGTATCCAAAAATCTTTTATTCGTTATGCTCTACGCTCTCTACATTTCGTTGATCCTTTCCCATCTTACACCGCTAAATGCATGCTTATAAACCTTAAATCACTGCATAATAGAAGGATTATTCTTTCTCTTCCTTTCGTTTTTGACATTATACGGGGTGCGATTGACTCGCCGTTCTTACTCGAACGGATTACATTTAATATCCCACCAAGAAGCCTTAGGAATCATGACATTTTTTCTCTGGATTTTGTCAGGAATAATTATACGAATAACGCTCCTATTCGCAGAGCTCTAAACGAGTTTAATTCGCTCTTAAACTCTTCTGCTATCGACTTCTCTTCCTCCAAATCTAACTTCAAACTACTTTTAAATAGTATGCTAAATTAGTTATTAATTTATATTTTGGTTTTTACCAAATAGTCTGTACGAAATGTTTATTTCTAGATTAAATAAATAAATAAATAAATAAATAAATATGGAACCTTGTGAAGACTGACAACTTATACAAACACAAAACGCACAGGACACAGGAATGCACGGAGTTGACGCTTGAGAGCAATTAGAACCCCACCACCAAGAAGGCAACCAGTTTTTGCAGCATCTCTGTCTTTGCGAAAAACATTAAAAAGATTTGAGTCGAAGCACCCACTGTCGAAAAAACTTGCATTCAACCACGTCTCAACTAAAACAAAGATGTCATAATCTATTTGCGCAGTAAAAGAATGCACAATATCAGCCTTGGTTCGCATGTCGCATTATTTATGGCTCTACTTCAAGTGAAATATTATTACCCAAATTAGAGGCCATTTTGACAATTAGTTTTATTTTATTTAGTAAGCTACGCCGATGGTCTTGAGCTAGTGCTGTTATCTCTAAGAAATCGCCTCATTTAAGAAAGCAGCAAAATTACTTTTTTTTTTTTTAAATATAATATGCCCCTTTTGAACTTTGACTACTACATTAAAACACTGTATAGGTTAAGCACTCGTTAAATGTTCTAGTAATTTACAAAATTTTTAAGTAATAAAAACGATGACTAAGTTGATTATAGCTATTTCAATGTTATTCCTAATATTCTCACATTCGCACTCCGAAAATTCGCATTCGAAACATCCTTAACTCATACCATTTCGAGCTACAAGAATACTGACTACGAAAGAAATAAATTTTTAAACCTTTAGTAGAAATGTCAACTTTAACAGCTGATATCTCAATGCATGATAAAAACATTACAAGGTAAATTCATTCTCTCAATTCTCGGCCATAATTTTTTTTCTGACGTTTGCAAGCATTTTAAAATCATATAAAATTTAAAATAAAAAAATTAAATTGTTCACAATTGTTTTCGTTTCCCAACAAACATTGGGCTTGCTTAACAATTCGAAATCGATTGGAAAACCAATCTTTTTTTTCGTGCCTCACCTTCGATAACGAATGTGCAATAGGTTAGTATTCGATTCGAGATCTAGGCCATTCTCCTTCGTTATCCAATGTCTTTTTCCCTTCGTTATGAATTCCAAATCCAGCCCATTATCGAATTGAAATTTTATTGTGAGAGAGTGATTATCTCATATTTCCTTTCCCTAATAAGTTGGGTCATGGTACAACAAAAACAGGTAGAAGCCAATTTGACGTCAAACCTACAAAAGTCAAGGTTCTCGGGAGAGTAAAAATAAAAATGAGCGTGTGTAAGGAAAAATAAAAAATTGTATTTCACTGGTTGACGTTTTTAAGTATATTTGAAGTTTATTCTTATTTATTTATTTTCTTTAGTTAAAATTTGATAAAACGTGTATGTTGTTTTCTGTTTTTGTTTTATGAGTTGCAGTGTTGTTGGAGGGACTTTTCGGCATAAGGGTCATAGGAACAGCACATGGCATCAAACGTGCCTTTCCTGTACCTCCCGGTGTATTGGTGAAATCTGCTCCTTTAAAATATTTAACGCACAGCAAGGCATTTCGCTGCAGCTCTGCCCCACAGCTGCTTTCGCAACGCTCCTTACGCGAAGGACATTGAAGCACGTTAAAAAAATAAGTGGTATCTGCTTTATATTTAACACCACATACTTCGGGTGATGCATTTTTAACACATACGCTAAGTATAAACCGCACAACACTACAAAAATTCAAGTGTTAATTAAAATTTGCTATTAACGAACATCAAAAAAAAAACAACGATATGACATTCAAAGCGTAACGAAATATAGGAATTAAAACTAGTAATTTTTAGCAAAAAAAAAACCGACTTCAACTCCCATATAAAAAAATATATATATATATATATCTCATGATCCACTGATCGGATCTCAACTAGATTAGTATGGGACCACCTCTGAGACACTACCTTTCCGATGCAAAAAGAATTATCGAAATCGGTTGACGTGGTCCAAAGTTATGCGGTAACATACATAAAAAAAAAAAAAAAAAATATTCCGACGAACTGATAACCTCCTCCTTTTTTGGAAGTCGGTTAATAAAATCAAGTTGAGGTTTAAAGGTTTCTACCTGTATTTATGTGCCTTGAGTTGGGTCTCACTTTCTCTGTTGTTACCATGATAAAAATATAGCAAGGTAGAACTGTTCTCTCAATTTGTCGGCCATGATTTTTTTTGAAGTTTGCCAACATTTTAAAATCATATAAAAGTGAAAATAAAAAATTGAAATTGTTTGAAATTGTTGTTGCTTGAGATTGAAAATGAAAATGTGTGTGTGAGTTTGTGAATAAATTTAAAAATTAAATTGTTTGGAAACGTCAAGAATTTTAAAAGTGACTCTCAGCGGTTCTACCTTACTATATTTTTATCATGATTTTGGCTTCTACCTGTATTTATGTGCCTTGAGTTGGGTCTCACTTTCTCTGTTGTTACTATGGTTTTAATTTTTTTTTCGAATCCATTTCGAGTGTGTTTTCAATTTACACTGAACGTTGGAAAACTAAGATTGCTTATGAGTTCATTCTCACTTCGATATTCATATTGGATATCGAAGGTAATTTTCGAGCGTTGGACAAAATGTTTATACCCTATAAGAATTGGAGAATGTAGTTAATTTTTATACTAAGTACCTGTAAATAGTATGCAGTAAACAATACTCATATCTGTAATAAGAAAACTTTGAGTAATTTGTTCGGATTTTGAGGATTTTACGTTTGTTTTTGAGGAATTTGGTAATTTTTTGTGGCAACACTGGCCTAAATGGAAGATCGACCAAACACTAATAAATGTGTAAGCCCCAATCGATTATTATTATTAAAAGGAAGGTTATATAGGCAATGGTTTCTTCCCTAGAGCTTATGAAAACATCGAGCTGGTGGAAACTTTATGCCTACGAAGTCGGAATCACCAGAAAACAAATCTATCAAAAATAGCTTTAGCAATTACCGCACCAAAATTGTTTACATTATTTTGTTGGCTTGCGTTATATCTTTATTTTCGCAAGCGTTCGTTCTCGTAGGCAAAATCGGCCTACATAAATTTTCTTAAAAAAAAAAATACCATATGTATGTAAAAAATAATTTCGTTAGGAATCAATAACTACAATCGAAATCTATTTTAGAGCTATGGTTCCATGGACGTTTTGGTTCAGAATTGCCAGTAGATCACCTCAGTCGCCGAAACAAAGTCGGTTATATTTAAAAACAAAAAAATTTACCCGCGTACATACATAAATAGGGGCATATATATGTACATATGTATTTATATTATAGATTTTCTAATTAATTAATTACTTTAGGCATTATATCCGATGAAAATGTGGAAGAGTTGCGGGTAACTTTTGACTACGCAATTACAAAAGCCAACACCAATCTCGGTATACCATTGGTAGGAAGAAGCGAAGAAATTAACTTTGGCGATTCATTACAAGGGTACTCAAGATTATGTAAATTCATGCAGGTTGGTATCAACTATTATTCTGTTCAACTAAATGTCAAATGCAGGTAGGTAATTCAAAAACTCATTATCCTCTTGTTTTTCATTCAAGTAGAGTATTTTCTGCAGCGTTGTCTAAAAAATCTTCAAGGTCATGTACATATCGACTGCTGAATGGAAGATCGACCTATCTCTGCAGACAGTTCGAAAACGCCCTATCTCGAAAAACTTTTCAAGAACGACCTACTTCAGAATTTGGCTGAAGAGCGCCCTCTGTTTCAGAATTCATTCCAAAAACGCCCTGACTCAGCTGCCGATTCAAAAACGTCCTATCTCGTCACATTTTCAATACATTTTGAAATGAGATAGGGCGTTTTTGAACCGGATTCTGAGATAGGGCGTTCTTCAACCAAATTCTGAGGTATGGTGTTCTTCAATAAAATTCCGAAAAAGGGCGTTCTTGAAAAGGTTTTTAAGATAGGGTGTTTTCGAACTGGCTGCCGAGATAGGTCGATCTTCCACTCAGCAGACGATATAATATACACTTATTTGACTTTTCTTTCGGACTTTTGGATATCTCGCCATTCCCCGTACAATCGTTTCAATTTTAGTATGCAATTATTTTCCCATTGAAGGAAGATTCTTGCTTTTTCCCAAAACACCAGAGTTTCTCGAATCGATAAACGCGCACAGTCTTGCATGTCCAGTTTTAAAATGTTTAAGTTAAAATACTGAACTTTCAACACTTGTCTCTTTGAAAGTAATTTATTACCAATAATTTGTGACGAAAATTACCGTTTTAAGAAGTAAAAGGCGGTATTTTTCATTATTTTGTGTATTATTTGTAAAAATTCTTTTTATGGATAGTAATAAAACGGAATTTCAGGTTTTCAAAATACGAAGAATTATAAGGAATGTCGCAGGACTATTTATGAATGTTCGGTTATTTCTACAAGGATGTTTTGATGGGGAGCGGAGGGAGAAGGGGTGTGTCACCTAAAACTACACTCATTGAAAAGAGCATAGTATAAAATTTAAAAAAAAGTCATCCTTCTCCTCCATGCCCCTTCAACAGGCACTCCGGGGGCGATTTCAAAATGGTGTAAAATTGGCAAAGAACAAGTAAAGAAGTATAAGTTCGGGCGAAACCGAACACTATATACCCGGCACACATATTAAATATCGTTTTTTCACCTTTCAGTAGACTGCATGATAATCAAGAGTATTTTTCCAATTATTTCGATAGTACACTATGATTTATTGAAATAATTGGACCAATTTTGGTGGAAATCGGTAAGGCGGTTATCAATATACACTTACGTAGTAAGTAATCAATCATCTTGTTAAGTGTTGTTAAGTGATTGTTGTAAGTTGGCGTCTTAGCTTATTAAAAAATCGGAGTTTTCGTATTTATAAAATGTACCGTTATATGGTAAGTGGCAGTAATTTTAGTCCGATTTCAAAAATGTTCAGCATATTGCTTTTTCATGCCAAGGTTGATAAATGTGCCGAGTTCGGTAGAAATTGGTAACCCGGTTACCGAGAGACACATATGTAGGCATAAGTGGGCGGTGCCACGCCCATTTTCCAAAAATTTTCCTAATTATAATTTTCTGCTAAGAGGTTATTGCATATATCGATTTTGAGTAAATTAGCATAAATAGTTACTTATTTATCGCAGTTTTCGTATTTCTGTAAATTACCGTTATATGGGAGGTGGGCGTGGTTCTTGTCGGATTTCAACAGGTTTCTTAGTCAAACCCTAAGTAATGTTCTCAGCGAGTTTGGTGGGGATTGGTAAAGGGACTACAGAGATACAGCTTTTTATCGTAAGTGAGCGGGGCCACGCCCATTTCCCAAAAATTTCATATGTAACTGTCTTATTTTATTTTAAATTTCTACTTCGCATACCAACTTTCAACAATTTGGATCCAGTATTTGCGGAAATATCGTAGTTTTTGCATATTTCGAAAATACCGTTATATGCGAGGCGGGCGTGGTTATTGTGCGATTCTGCCCATTTTCAATCCCAACCTACCTTGGATAAAGGGAAACCTATGTACTTACCAAATTTTGTTGACATATCTCAATTTTTTCTCGAGTTATCGTGTTCACGGACAGACAGACGGACGGACGGCCAGTCACCGCTTAATCGATTTCTCTTTTCATTCTGATCATTTATGTATATATATGTCTATATCTATCTCGATTCGTTTTGGCTGTTACAAACAACCGTTATGTGAACAAAATTATAATACCCTTGTGCACAAGTGCGCTCGGGTATAAAAATTAAACTCGTGTTAGGCCATCAGCAGTCTTTTTACGCAAAATTCCTTTCCGCGTTGGTGGCCTTCGGTCGTGATAGAAAAAATAACCTCATCAGTCCAACTCCGGTTACACCATCCATATAATTTTTGCGCAAAATCCACCTCCAAATTTATAAATTGCATATAGCTATTTGTTATCAAACTGCATTAGATTGTATTATTTTTGAACCATTACACAGGTGTACCGAATTCTTGCAGTTTGGAAACGCGCAAGAATTTTCTTTTAATATTTTCATCAACTTCACTAGCTTTGAAAATTTTGTTTCTTTTTCAAGAAACAAAAATTTTTCTGCTAGAGAATCTGGTTGCATTATTTTAGTTAAATGTCATAAACTTGTTAAAAGTCAAGTGGTCGGCAACAACAACGAATGCAAATAAATGAAACTACCTAAGAAAAACTTTATCTCACTCTAATTTTATCAATGACACTCCCACCCTACTCCTAAAAACAAAAACAGTGATATTTCTTTTCCATTTCCATTTCTTTGAAAGTTTTAGGAACATTCTTAAATTTTTAGTAGTGAAATTTTTACTTTTTAAATTTGAAGAAATGTTTGTTCTGCATTCGCTGGCGACAACAAAAGAAAATGGGTGAGATTTGTTGGGCCGCAGAAATTCAATGTAGGCTAAAGAGACGAAATTTCCTTAAATACCGAATGTGTAGTTGTATTTGTCCACATTCATGGATACCTATTGATTCTGTCAGTCGCTGTAAAGTAAAGCGCGCAACGGTTCTGGCAAATGAGTCAACAAAGGAATTTAGGTATTGACTTACACCCCCGAATGAGACTTTGCCGCAGTATAATATTGGCAAACCACATCCATGGGGCCAATCGTAACACACGACAGCTCGGTTTAGTCAATGGCGCGATGTAATTTCAAACTTACGGCACTCCTCGTTTGGCGAAGTAGATCAATTCAGAAATATTTTTGAATGGGTTTGCCACTTTTTTGTACCTAAAACAATTTATGATAGATAGCAAATGAAGGGTATTTTTGAGAATTTAAATCAAGAAATATTTTCCATGAGGGTTTCCACGTTTTTTTTGTCTAAACTAAAATATCAGAGTTGCACGTTGACATGAAACAGCTAATTTATTGCTTTTGTAATGCTACGAAAATTAATGGGTTCTAGCTTTTTAGTTTTACTCTAACTACAGCTGGCTCTAACTGAGGACTACGATTATGCCCCATTGCTTCTTGGTCCGATATAAAAAACGTTTAGTTTTAACTGTGGCAAAGTGGGACTGCTTAATATTTGATAATTGTGAACAATTAGAGAAAAAACTGTAATATATATATAGCACAAATATAAACTACATAAAAAATATTTAGTGCCTACACTTTCGCCAGTGCCGGCCGACTTTCTCGACCGCTTTAAAAACAAAATTTAAATTTTTTGGGATGTTTCTCGTGCCAGAGGTTGAAACCAGGAAGCACCGATTTGGCAGAACGCACCTCTGGAGTATAATTTGACAAAAAAAAACTCTGGTACTGCTGATTAGGAGCAGAAATTAGTTATCTATTAGAATTATTGAAATATTCATGTTTATTTAAACAAAATTTGGAATTTTTTAGCATTTGTAGAAAAATTCAAATACGCATTTTTCCTCAATATTTGGCTAGAATAAATATGGCCACCGTACTCATAGATGATATCTCACAATCTTTTCCCAGAATTCTCCGTGAGTTGAGCCACAACAAAAATACACATACATACATAGCTACCAGTGTTGATAACTGCATTTTCCAATTTCGTACGAAAATGTAATTCAAATTGTACTTTTTATCACTAAATTGTACCGAATTTTTATTTTTTTTTATTGTGTATAAATTGTATTTAATTGTTGTTCCTAATAAAGTACAAATAATTGCTAAAAATTTAGAAACAATATTACCTCTATTTTATTTACGTAAAATATACACACTTTTACATCAGGCGCTGTGATTTTAAATACATGTACATATCTAAGCACAATGAATAGATATTTTTAAATTTACAAAGTGCCACGTTTTTTTTCTAAAATTCAGAATATCTTCCTCTTTCAGTTTTTCTGTGTTTTGATTTCTTAATCTATCATCTAAGAAAGTAATCAAAACAATTCTGCATAACTTAACGAATCATGTGTTGCCAAATTTTGGCAGACGAAATTGTACTAAAAAGTGCTGGGTTGTAGGAATGTAGAAAGCACTTGAAATTGTATGAAAAAAGTACAATTGTATCAAAATTATCAACACTGATATCTAACGGATGTACGTATCGTCACTAGACACGAATAAGGGCGCGTAAAAAAACTTCAGCGAAGAAAGACTCTTTATATAGCTGACGGCGAAGAGACGCGTTAAAATATTTGACGGCGAAGAAAGACGCGTAAACTTATTAAAGAGTTTTTGTGGAATTATGGTTAAGTGACAGTCCTTGGTACAAATCTATATTTCTTTCTTCGCCGAAGTTTTTCTTAAGCGTCTTTTTTCGTAAATTTTTTTACGCGTTTTTTTTTCGCCGTCAAAACACTAGCTCGCCCTTATTCGTGTGCAATGACGATATATATGTATGTAGTAAGTATGGATATCGGTACTTTATCGCCCAATCTAACATTTTTGTATCATAAACGATCACAACCCATGACTAGCCAACGAGGGCACTTACGCAAAGCGATTCTATCATTTTCAAACTTTGGCACGTTTGTGGCACAGATTATTATTTTTGATCAATTGGGTTAAAATTTGAAGGGATTATCTTTGATTGCAGAAAATCACTTCAGGGGATAGCAGCCGCAAATTTCGTGTTTTAAAAAATATGGCCCACTCTAATGTACATACATGCATAGTTTAGTAAATTAGTCGACCAGATATTCGGAATGGACTAGGTCAATTAAAAAGTTTTTAGAATTTATTTAATTTTGTTAAGCAACATAATTTATAAAAATAATATGTAATACTCATTAGTAAGCAATAATAAGCAAGTGTTCTTTGAAATCTTCCATTAAACTGCATTTAGAATGGAATAGGTGCCATTTTTGGTCCTTCTTCGCGTCAAACTTCAGCACATCTGCTAACAATATGTGATGCCAAGGATATCCCCTATGTATACCCGCATATGAGTGAGCATTTGGAAGGCTTTAACCTTTACCCACATCCAATGGATTTGGCGCGCATACTCCATGATCTTATCAACGTATTTGAATGGACACGGTTTATTTTTCTCTATGAATCTTGTATGTACATACATATATAAATATGGCATTCAAACAAGTACATGAAATTTATATGACTATTTATTTTGCAGCTGACTATTTAAGCATATTAAACGGTTTAATGTCGTTTTACGTCAGTGACGGTCCGGTCATTAATGTACTACGGTACGACCTCAAATTGAACGGAAACTACAAAGCGGTCCTACGACGCGTGCGCAAGTCGGATGATGGACAGATTGTGGTGGTAGGCTCAACTCCGTCGGTAGCCGAGCTTTTAAGGCAGGTAATATAAATAAATATAAGAACTATGAAAATCTTAATCAAATTTAAAATGTTTACTTCTCATATATGTACACAGAGTAGCTTCGGGTATTATGGACTACTGTTTTTCTTTTCGGATCACAATAACGAATGTAGGAATAGAATTAATTGTTATGAGGAGTCTGTAATGTGGTGACGCTTTATTAGGATGAATGTTTTTACTATAGTCACGTTATAGGTTTATTCAACATCAGAAAAATTTGATTGGCTTTTACTGCAAGTTCAGTAACACAAAAAACTTGCAAAAGAAAGCCAAAACGTGAGCCTCAGGGGAGAGCTGAAAAAGTTTACTAGTAAAAGCTCAATTAGTCTAGACACAACTAAGCTAACGTAAGAAATCGCCGTTATCCTAGCCAGAAGCGAATGTTTAATGTTTTTGTATTTTCCTTTTCAGCTAATTGTCACTTTTCCGCCTATAAGCCACATCAAAAAATTCCGAAACAAAAATATTTTCGTTGGCCGATATATCTATTAGGTTACGCTACGTAAATTAGAAGATCAGTAATTAGTCCAGTAAAATTAGATAAATTTGGTAGGAAATTAAAAAAAAAATTGTAACAGCGATTTTTTGATGCAGTTTACTTCTATTTGACACGTAGTTCATGGAATCACAGTCGTGCCCCTAACTGTCATTTGGCAACATTCTGCCATCTTGGAATTAAGTTTTTTGGGTTATTTTACATTTGTCGTAAAAAATGGTTAAATGCATTGTCGCTGTAACCGCATAAGCGATTTTGGCCGAGTCCAAAACAGCACGCCAGTCATTTCTCTTCTGTGCTAACTGACGCCAATTGGAAATGCCAAGTGAATCCAAGTCCTTCTCCACCTGGTCTTTCCAACGCAGAGGAGGCCTTCTTCTTCCTCTGTTACCAGCATCGCGGCCCGCGTTGAATATTTTCAGAGCAGAGGCGTTTCTGTCCATTCGAACGACATGGCCAAGCCAGCGGAGCCGCTGAATTTTAATTCGCTGCACTATGTATATATCGTTGTAAAGCTCATGCAGCTCATCGTTAAATCGTCTGCGATATTCGCCATCACCAACGCGTAAAGGTCCGCAGAATCTTTCTCCCGAAAACTCCAAGAGCCGCCTCGTCAGATGCTTTCATTGTCCATGCCTCGGTGCCATACACCAGCACAGGCATGATGAGTGACTTATAGAGTGTGATCTTTGTACGACGAGAGAGGACTTTACTTCTCAATTGCCTACTCAGCCCAAACACTTGTTGGCAAGAGTGATTCTCCGTTGGATTTCAAGGCTGACATTATTATTGGTGTTAATGCTGGTTCCCAAATAAACGAAGTCGTCTACTTTTTCAAACTTGTAACTGTCAACAGTGACGTGGGTGCCAAGACGCGTATGCTCTGACTGTTTGTGTGCTGACAGGAGATACTTCGTTTTGTCCTCGTTCACCACCAGACCCATTCGCTTTGCTTCTCCAATCCAATCCCGAGAAGGCAGAACAGACGTAGCCCTTGTTTTTACCGATAATATCGATGTCGTCGGCATACGCCAGCAATTGTACGCTCTTATAAAGTATTGTGCCTGAGCGGTTCAGTTCTGCGGCTCTTATTATCTTCTCCAACATAAGATTAAAGAAATCACACGAAAGGGAGTCTCCTTGTCTGAAACCTCGTTTGGTATCAAACGGCTCGGAGAGGTCCTTCCCTATTCTGACGGAGCTGGTGGTATTGCTCAACGTCATTTTACACAGCCGTATTAGTTTCGCGGGGATACCAAATTCAGACATCGCGGCATAAAGGCAACTTCTCTTCGTGCTGTCGAAAGCGGCTTTGAAATCGACAAATAGATGGTGTGTGTCGATCCTATTCTCGCGGGTCTTTTCCAAGATTTGGCGTATTGTGAATACCTGATCTATGGTGGATTTTCCAGGCCTAAAGCCACACTGATAAGGTCCAATCAGCTCGTTGACGGTGGGCTTCAGTCTTTCGCACAATACGCTCGATAAGACCTTGTAACCTATGCTTAGAAGGCTAATTCCGCGGTAGTTGGCGCGTATGGCGGGGTCGCCTTTCTTGTGGATTGGGCAGAGCACACTTAAATTCCAGTCGTCGGGCATGCGTTCATCTGACCATATTCTGCATACGAGCTGATGCATGCACCTCATCAGCTCCTCGCCGCCGTACTTGAATAGCTCGGCTGGCAGGCCGTCAGCTCCAGCAGCTTTGTTGTTTTTCAGCCGCGTAATCGCTATACGTACCTCGTCATAGTCAGGCGGTGGGACAGCTACTCCATCATCATCGACTGGGGACTCGGGTTCGTCTTCCTCACTACTTTCAGCGCTGCTACCATTCAGTAGGTTATAAAAGTGTTCCCTCCACAATTTAAGTATATTCTGGACATCGGTCTCTAGGTCGCCATTGTTGTTCTTACAGGAGTTCGCCCCGGTCTTGAAACCTTCCGTAAGTCGCCTAACCCTCTGGTAGAATTTTCGGGCGTTCTTCCTGTCGGCCAGCATCTCAAGCTCTTCGCACTCACGTATTTCGGCCTCTCTCTTCTTATTGCGGCAAATACGTCTTGCTTCCTTCTTCAGTTCCCTATAACGGTCCCACATGGCTCGCGTTGCGCCCGATCGCAGCGTGGCCCTGTAGGCGGCATCTTTTTTCTCTGCGGCTTCTTGACATTCCTCATCGTACCAGTTGTTCTTTCGGGCTCGCTGAAATCCAACTACTTCTTCGGCGGCGGTACTTAATGATCGGGAAATGTGGTTCCACTGCTCGCGTACGTCGGATTGTTGAAGAGTGCTCTCAGAGAGCAGGTGTGTGAGTCGAGTGGCGAATAAATTGGCCGTCTGTTGTGATTGCAGCTTTTCGACGTTAAGCTTTCCTTGCATTGTTGGGCGCACATTTTTTGCTGCACAGAGGCGGGTGCGTATCTTGGCTACAACAAGATAGTGGTCCGAGTCGATGTTTGGCCCTCGGAGTGTACGTACGTCCAAAACGCTTGAAGCCTGCCTTCCGTCTATCACAACATGATCGATTTGGTTTCTCGTTTTTCGATCTGGAGACAGCCATGTAGCTTGGTGGATGTTCTTATGCTGGAACCTAGTACTACATGTTACCATGTTTCGGGCCCCGGCGAAGTCGATCAGCCTCAGTCCGTTATCGGACGTTTCGTCGTGGAGGCTGAATTTTCCGACAGTGGCGCCAAAGATCCCTTTCTTGCCCACCTTGGCATTAAAATCGCCATGCGTAATTTTGACATCTATCGCATTTCTTGGATGGCGGTGATGTCAGCCTTTGTCTTCCCGAGGACATCAACCAGCCGGGCAGAGGCACCTTCCCCATTAAGGGTTCGGATACTCCAGGTGCATACCCTTAAATCATAGTCCTTTATACGTTTGCCGTGGTCGTCATCAGAAAAAGGGGGTCTCATCCGAGGCTGTTTTTTTCTTTTCATTGGGCGGGGTTTTCACGTGGCGGGACCCAAACCCAGCGCACGCGAAGTTTTACGCCTTCTCACTTTAGCTCGCTCCCAAACGATAGGTGGATATAAATATCCGGACGTTGTGAGCTGCGATTTGAACCGTACGCACAAGAATCGCTTCTGGCCACTCCCAGGTGAATGGCAGTCAAAAGTTTTCCACTTCTGCGAACGAACCATCTCTCTCTCTATCTAGAGGCGAGCGCCTGCTCGTGGATGTCACCATAATATTGTTATAACTTTAGAACTACTTGTTTTCTAAACATGAAACTTTCCCAAAAATTTCCGTATATAAGTATTTGTCTATAATGCTGCATTAAAACAAAACAAGAATTTTAAACTTCATAACACAACTTTTGCATTTGTAAAAACCTTACCTTTTATAAAAAAGTTAAAATATCCGCCATTTTGTTTTTAATAAGTATTAAGGAGTGTAGTTAGACTCATATACTTTAAAATAAATAGTATCTAGTTTATTGTGTACAAATTTCAAATCAATCGATACATAAACGCCTGAGATATAGCGAGTTTAATTGAAAATTTCGCAAAAATTGGTCGCCATAAAGGCATGAGCAAAAACTTGGTTAAAATGAACTTTAAATGTATTTTTGAATAAGCTATCGATTACAATTCGTTTGAAATCGCTTCTCTTCACTTCTAGTCTGTTCCAATAGCAGTCCAGTTTACAGGATTTAGTCAGAACTTACAGGAAGTCGTTCCTATTGACATAAAACCTGTAAGTGGGAACACATTTGAGAGAGTAACTGAGCAACTGTTCCTAGTCAGAAGTTACAGGATTTAGTCCGGAGTTTTTTTTCCTGTAAGTGTCAAACGATCAGCTGATTTACATGTGCAAACAAAAACAGAAAGCGGTGAAAGCAAAGAACCTTATATTTGTTAAAAAATGCAAGTAAACAACGAAATATTTGAATATGTATAGATTTTAATAATTATTTAGTGATATTTCAGCCAAATCAGTGTAGTACCAATGACATGTAAACAAACCGTCTGACGTTTTTACAGGAAATAGTGCTTTTTGCGTTCCCGTGCACTTCGGCATCTGTTCTCCTTTTACTCTCAGTTGAGAGAGTAAAATTGTAGTTTGACAGTTCCACAGGTTTTAGTCCGAAGTTCAAAGGAACAGACTATTCAATTTTATGTTTTTTACGCTTCCTGTTGTTTTCGCTGCTTGTTGTTGTCGCCCAAACTTTGCGAGAAAAATAACGGTCCTGCGCATTGCGCAACCTTTTATATATAAACCTTGGCCATTTGCAGATATGCTTTCTACCAGTGTGGTATGTAGGTCCAGCAGTACTGGGTATTATGAAAAAATATAACAGTACTTCCGCGTCTAAGCGTGTTTATATATCAAAAATCCCGTCGTAAAAACTTCTGACATCAGCAGAGAATAATTTAGAAAAAATTAGGTGGGATAATTTCTATAAAATAATGACCCTGAATTAAATTCTACAACGATTTCGATATTTGTAAGCATTCCCCGCTTATACATATGTAAGTACATAGTATGCCCTTTAGTCCGTTTGTTTTTGACTGAAACTGGGAAAGCGCATTGATATATGTATACTGTTTATGGGCTTCCTTATCCAAAATGACGAACACAATGAGTAAGTAGTCTGCTCATATTCAAAATATAAGTTTAAGTAAACTTTTTTTCTAATTTAACAGACTTTTGTGCAGCAAGTATTGTCGCAAAGCAACCAAGTTTTGGAAAAAAATTAACGTGACTTATTAAATAGAAGCTTTTACCATAATACCCGAAGATACGCTATTTTGCAAGCATAAATTGTCACAATTTTTTTTTTACACTTCTAGGCACAGCAAGTTGGAATCATGAATGACAAATATTCGTATATTATAGGCAATCTAGATTTCCATACTTTTGATTTAGAAGAATATAAATATAGTGACACAAATATAACTGGCATACGCATGTTCTCACCAGATCAGTTAATTGTCCAGGAACTCATATCGCAACTAGGCAATAACGAGAATGACCAAATAGACAATGGTTTGTATTTGTACATACATACATACGTATCTCTAGAAAATAATTTATGCAACCTCACATACGCGGTTTTGCATTTTGTTGATACGCGGTTTTTTTTTTGCTTTAAACGACGATATGTAAATTGAGAATCTATGTGTGTACATATGTATATATTACCTTGTTTATACCTACGCAAGAACCGCATTAACAAAAAACCGATTTTACTGAACACATATTACTTTCTAGAGTTTATACCTGTGTCTTTATAGCGCACTCGCTGAAACCGTATTCAAAAGTAACCAAAATTTGCTGTTTATTTTTCGATATTTCTTTAATAAATACTTCGCACGGTTCACCGAAATAGAAGCGAACAATAATTCAAATTTATTTTAATAATAATTAAAATTTAAGACGGGCATCAGCCTATTTTCACTTCGCGTCAAATGAGCGATGTGTTTATACCTGTTTTCTAACCGAAGTGAGAAATAAAAAACCGATTTGAAAACTAATTCGAGTCAGTACACTTTTCAATTTCAACGCGCTTTGAAATTCAGTTTATGCATCCGTTTTAAATCACAGCGAACTAGGTCAAAGCGCTTTATGTGTCGGTATAAACAAGGTATATGTATATACAGATGTAAATATATACGCTTTCGGCCAATGAAATCGCTCGTAACATCGTGTTGGCTTATAAAATACCGACAATTGTTGTTAATGGATTATCCGAAGTCACCAGATGTTTGCTTATTATATCCACTTACCACGAGAGTACAGGTAATATTACTTAGTTCTCAGCAGTGCAATGAAGTGCTTATGCAGAGATAACGATGGAAATTCGTTTAACGCACGTATTTAGTACCAGTCCCAGATTTTGAAGTATATTTTTGGAAAAGTTATGACGACAAGTTCACGCTTCGCGAGCCTCACGATTTTCATTCTAAATCTCATAAATTTTTTATATTTACTCTTTAATTTGTCTTTTAAAATAATAAGATATGAAGGGTTTTTAATTCTATAAGTCAAGGAAAAATTATTTTCTGCCTTTTATTCCATTTATCAGAGTTGGGGTAGTCTACTAAATTTTTAATACCTAAACATATCACTGGCATTAAATATATTGGAAGGAAGTCGATTTTATATTATTTATCGCCACCTTAGTGATATCGAAAAATTATCATGATTATATCCCTGCAAATGTCCCCTTATCTTATAGGACTGGTTGAAGGACACTTTCGGTAGCCTTTTGTCTGATAATGGGATTGCCAAATCACAAATCGCTCCAGCAAACCCAATTTTCAATTAGTATAGCTAGAGGTGCTATACCTAATGTGACCAACTATTTCATAGCTCAAAGAAGTACAGGCTGGGTTGGGTTAGATTAAAGTGGTTGCCCCAGGCAAAGGGACACACTTGGACAATTAAGAGATAGTCCTTTTTGGTACCACGAAAAAACTGAACGAATACCCTTAATTTAGTAACTTAATTTAGTTACCGAATTCCGAATGTGGCTAATTTCGATCCCTGAGAATTCAGGGTTAGTTGAAAAGTGCTTCCATCTTAGCCTCCCGAAGGTTGGGTAGTCTAAAAGAAAGTGTGGAGATGATTCCACCTCACCTTCCTCTTGATAGCTGATACCTAGCACTGCAAAAAGCATTTTAAAGTTCCCTATAAAAATATTTTATGCAGCAGAGAAATGTCTTTTTTCCTTCTTTATGTCTCAAAAGGATCGTCGCCTTCTTTTGCCCATTTTATTAGGTATTTAGTAGAGTATGCAATTCATTATCGCGAAAACGAAGTACGCGTGTTTTTCTAGCGCTCGTCGAGCTAACACTAGACCATCCAAGAGTGTACCGCAGGAGGACAGAGGCGTCCCTACTTGCTTCTTATCTGGGGATAACGTTTTAAGGGTGCGTATCCGATGCCAGGTCATCAGCCACGTAGTTTCCCGCAATTTCACTGTGATCCGGCGCCTAAACTAGCCTTACTTACAAGAACTAAGAAGCGATTGATATAGAGGTCAGACATTCCTTTACCGATTTCGAGCGCACCATCACACCCTTTAGGAGTGAGTCTACCACTTCCTTGATGGCAGCTTTCTCCACCACCTGAAAGACACTGCAGAAGTCCGGAAGCCTGAACATATGTAGTTCTGATGGAGAGTTTCCGACAGAAGAAACCTCCCTAACCCTGTCTCCAAGTTTTGATCCGTCCGTGAAGAAGTTTACCGCTCCCTTCTTCGAGTAACGCCGCCCTACCTAGTCCTCTCTTGAGAGAATATAGGTAGAGAAGGGGCTTCTTGGAGTTAGTTCAGAGGCGCTGTATTCTATGTGTTCAAAGACAAAGCCCGCCAGAACTCCAGAGTATTACCACGCGGTTTTTCTGAGCCTAACATCAGTTCGTACTCAATTCTGTCTGCAATATCCGCAGGCGCCATGTTCAACGCGACGTTAAGCGCCAGGGTTGGTTTCTAATGCTCTACTAATTCCAATTAGGGCGATTCGCTGTAGACGCTCCAGTTTTTTACAAGTTTAGCCTTTTCTAGTGAATTCCACCGGACAGAGGCTCCGTGAGACAAATCTGGTTTCATAGAGCTAATGAATTATTTTAGGCGAGAGACCTCACCTTTTACAGGGAGCTTCCTTACAGCAGTACAAGGCAACCGACGAATTTCTTATCATTTCCTCAATGTTAGGCTTCCACGACAGCTTACTATCCAGGACCAAGCCTAATTACTTAACCCTGTCTGAGATCCACAGACGAACACCCCCACTCGAGGGAAGGACTACAACGGGTGTCTTGTATTTCCTGTCAAACAGTACCAGTTCTGTCTTTCCGTCGATCATCCAGCTAGTTATCTGGTTTAGGTAACCTTGAGCCAAATCAAAAATGGTGTCTAGAAATCGTCACTTAACCGAGAGTTCCACGATCATCCGACAGCGCATTTTTCCAGTTCCTCTAGCAGATCATTTACAACCGCAATCCAGAGTAGGCGTGAGAAACTACCACCTTTCGGAGTACCCCTATTCACTCTGCGCTGAGTGCAGGCGCTCCCCCACTCCGCCAAGATAGTTCTGTCACGAAGTAAGCTGTATATAAGCCTTGGTATGAACCCCAAAATTATGAATAGACCTGACTATTTCCTCTAGAGTGACATTGATGAAGGCCTCCTCGATATCGATGAAGACCCCTACTTACGTGAAGGCTTCCTCTCGTCACCTTAGCAATGTATGCAGGGTGGTATCTACCGACTATTCCAAGGCAATAAGCCATGTAACGATCGTCCAGATGATCGGAGAAGTACATGACATGAAGTGCAATATATCGCAAAGGAGTACATTTGAGTAAAGTACAAGAGCTCGAAAAGAAGTACAGGGCATGAATCACGTATTAAGACAATCGTCTGAACGATATCATGTCCAGATTGTCTTGCTTCGTGAAAACCAAAAATTGTTTGTACGCTTGTGCGATATCGTCAACTCGTTTTCACTTTTGCTTCACCTAACAGTAACAGTAACATGTAACAGCAACACAAATGCATAAATCAGTGTTTCGACGACGTCGTTTTGTCAATATCGTTTGAACGACTATCGTTTGAAAGTTACGTGATTCATGCCCTGTACTTCCGAAAGAAGTACGGTTGGTCACATTAGGTATACCTGCGATGGTTCCCAGTACTTCCGTTGGTCAGATACGCATGACTGCTGTAATGGCTACACAGACCAATCGGTGAAATTTTTCAAAGGGATAGCGCCAGAAATTTATTGTGCCCATGCATGTCGGGTGAATGACAACTAATTCTTGCAACACAATTATTCAAGATATTTAAATTCTACATACAATTCACTCTGCAAAGCGTTTTCTATTTGAACTTTGCCTACAAAAGCTTTACAGTCCGCTTTCGGTGACCACAAGTGAATACATATGTACATATGTATATGTACGTAAATATATATGTATGTAATTCAATAAAATGTGTATGTATCAAAGAATATAGAATATAAAGAACTGGAGAGTCAGCCAGGAAAATGAACCGGATGGACTTTGCATCTTCTTTGTGTTCTATTGTCTTTGAGGATGATTTCTGTAGGATTTGGCTTCACAAAAATTTAATATTTCAGCAGGTTTATGTCCGATAACTTTAGAAATGGCATTGACGTATGATGCAGTTCAAGTATTTGCCGAAACTACAAGGAGTCTCATATATCGTCCTCAACCGCTAAACTGTTCTGATAGCAGCGATCTCGTGCAGCCAGATGGATCAACATTTCGAAACTACATGCGCTCGGTAACGTTCCCCTTCCAAACGTGTACATAACTGTTCTTTTTACTTTACTTTCATTGTTATATATGTATGTATATATATATATGTACATATGTGTACTTATGTATGTAAACTCTAATCTTGGAAATGTAATCAACATTTCAATCAGTGTAGATCAATATTCGCGAAAATACTATCACCGGTCAAATTTACTTTGAGGGCAATATACGTAAGGGATATATCCTCGATGTTGTAGAGCTACAATCAAGCGGTCTTGTTAAAATAGGCACTTGGGACGAACGGAATAACTTTACTCTTCAACGTCCACCTCAAATAGAGTTACCAAGCGAGGGAGATGCCGATTCCTTAGTGAACCAAACATTTCGTGTTCTGATTTCAGTGCCTGTAAGTTCTAATACTTATCATACATATACATTAACTTTTATAAATATGGCCGAAAACGCCGAACTGTCACGAAAAAATAAGCCTTGAACAGACTGGACAAAACAATGATACTCAGAAATGTACATATTATTTTTGTTGTTTACAATGTTTAAGATCTTAAAATAATACCTGATTAAAAAATCAATCTTTTTGAAATAACTCGTCATGATTGCGGTCCTTGGTTTTACATTTCTTATATAAATCAACTTCGTAGCTGCGCCACTCTTAGGTCCAATTTCAGATGGCCTATTTAAGTAGAGATTGTTAATTAACTTGAAAAATTCATTTTCCGATCATACATTTAATACCCACTTAAATGGCCAATATTGGCCAAGTTTGATAGATGGGTTGTTTTATCAATCTTGCCAAACAAAAAAATTTCCAGGAACAAGCAACAATGTTGCCCCTTGTTTGGCATTTTTAAATTAAGTTGATCTGAAAGCCAACGAAAGCTAAATGACAATTAAATAACAATCCAGAATTAAACTAAGGTGTCGTTTAAATATTCATCTGAAATTGGCCCTTACTAACCGTAACTAATTCAAATACATACTACAACTAATCTATATAAGATATAATAATATATGATCCCAACCCCCGGAATTTTTTATATGCGTATTTTATCTTCCCTGGATTCGTTTTATACGTTTTAGCCTACATACACTACATACATATATTTATTTATTTTTTTAAACATGTTTATTTTCATGCAACAACTACATTCGTACCTCTTCACACAACAAAAACAAAATATAAATTTCCTTAGAACAAACCTTACGCAAGTTTAGTTGAGAGTCACAAAAAATTGATTGGCAACAATCAGTTTGAAGGATATAGCATAGATTTGATAAAAGAATTGGCCGCAAAATTAGGCTTCAATTATACTTTTATAAATGGCGGTAGCGATTACGGCGGTTTTAATAAGACAACTAATTTAACGTCGGGTATGATGAAGGAGATCAATGAAGGCGTAAGTGCTCAGAAATCTATAAATGCTTATTTGTGCCCACAAGTCATAACCGCTGAAGTCGGGGGGTTGGCTTCAACATATTGCACTTTTCCGATTAATTTTTTGAAGATACTTGTTTGGAGTGTTGACAGAATATGACTGGCATCATATTTATTTCATTCACATTTATTTGCTAAGATTTGCCCAGTGCGTCATTCACAATCGCACGCAGCCGGCGCAACCCAGCCTGGCTACTGGAACAAGACCGGTTTACCCCATCATCACTACCAGTGTTGCCGGGATATTCCGAAGAAATGTATCATATTTAATATGTTGTTGATTAAGTATTTCACCAAAATTACCCAACTGACTTAGTTCCCCAACATACATAGTTCTAATAAAATATTGCAAGGAAAATTCTTACACTTAAACTTAATGAAAAGAAAATGTTTAAAAAAGTTTGAAAAATTTGAAATTGCTAAAAAATGTCTTATCGGCTTTTAGAAAACTAGTTTTTTTACGTACTCACAAAGTTTCATGAAAATCACATGAAAACTTTGGTTGCAATTCTTATTAAGAAAATAAGGTCCAAAAATGCTAATAAAAAAAAAATAAAAAAATATGTAAAAAAATCGAATGCTGGCGAAGTATTTTGCTGATATATTTGTGGATACTGAAGCTAAGAAATGCAAATGCACTAACGAAGTGTGAAAATTGAGGGGGCGGGCCACTTCAGGAATTTTTACTCTGTATTTCTTTTCTCTTATTTCTTTCTTGTAAGATAGCATTATTTATGTGTAGTAGATCTTTCAAGCGATATATTGCAATATAAAAAAATGTTGTTCAAAATTCCTTAGGCGCCGAACGAGCTATAAAGACCTCCAGACTTAAGCTGTTATAACTTGTGGACACTAGGGTTGGGAATTCTATCCAGAATTTTGAATATCCGAGTAATGCGAACATTTGAATATTCAAGTATATGTTTAGCAAATCCATTTTTTATATGTATGTATGTACATACATACATTTCATCGATGTTTTTGCAAAACCGCCTATCTTACGGTACTCCAACTTTATAAAAGAGCAAAAAAACGGGTTTTCTTTGAAGGTATTGCCTTGATATGTGGTATTTTCTCTAGCTATTATTTTACAAATTTTCAGATTCTTATGCATAAATCTCGATGCCTAGAGTACAGGGTTATTTAATCACAATTGTCTTCAGGCACGAATAGGTATTCCGAATCTTCAAGTCCGAAAATCGTAGCAGATCCTTTTTTCATATGTATGTATATATTAGAGGGCTGCATGATTTCATTCAAACTTCTAGCAAAACAGAGTACAGTAGATTTGAATATTTTACTTCACATACAAAACACTCAGCGTTTGGAATTTTGTAAGCAGTGTTGACACTAATCGATTGATTTTTTAATCAATTAGTTCTTCTTCTTCGAGTTCTTTGGTATCGATACTTCTAAGCATCGGGTATTTTTCAGAGTACTGAGTACTTTCTTTAAATATAAATGTGTTGGTAACATGTCAATGCTTAGTGTAGAAATCTCACAAGCTGTCAGTATTTTGTTCAAATTAATACATATATGAATCCCAAATTACGTCAAATTAATGGCTAACAGTACTGAGTAAAAGTATTGTACTTGAAAATTATGGAAACTGCAAATTGAGTACAATCATTTCTGAATACCGTTAAATATAAATAAAACTCACTAGTTTTAAAGTTTATTCAACACTTAATACTGAGTACTTTGCATCAATCCTGAGTATATGTATCAAAAGGATTGTTGGAACAGAGTATATTTGAGTACTGAGCACTTTCGAGTTCTTTTAAGTTCTAGGTACTTTCACGTTCCTTTTTTCAGTACTTAGTACTTTCGAGTTCTTTTGTGAGCACTGAGTTCTTTGGAGTACTCAGTATCGATACTTTTAAAAATCGGGTGCTGTCGATCCTTTTGAGAATCGAGTTCTGAGTACTTTTGGTATCGATACTGCCCAACACTAGTTTGTACACATGTACATAGAAAAAATATTTTTGAATATCCATGCAATTTGATTTACATTTATTTCAATTCAATTTATTTTCACTTTGTTTGAATATTGTAATATCGACACACATATCAGGACAGATATTCACTGCATATCTCAGGAAATATTTGTGATAGAGTACTGGAGCTTGGTATGGTGAAATAACACAAACGGCAATAACGCAAATATGTGTCATTTCCCAATTGAATGTGAAATAACACAAATTTGCTTTATTTCATTTCTCGTTGAGCAATAAGACCAACTTTTAAACTTAACAATCTATACATATAATAAAATTGTAACAGGTCGATGTCTGTACATTATAGATATTAAAGAAAAATTAATGTGGGGGGTCTTTATTAGAGCACCAAAAGCCAAATCAACCATTTTTAGAATTTTTGTCTGTCTGTCTGTCTGTCTGTATGTTTGTTCGCGCATCACTCGAAAACGAATGCATGGATTTGAATGCGGTTTTCACCGATGTATTGCTAGAGGTCTAACTTAAAATATAGGAGTTGCCACCTGCTTGAAAATTGGAGTTTAAGTAAATTGATAAGAAAAAATGAATATTGCAATATGGGCGTCAAAAGAAAGAGGCTGAAGAAGCCTTACAGCCAAAAGTATTTTTTTAGAGTTGCCACCTGTTTGAAAATTTACATTTAATTTAATTAATAAGATAAATTTAATATTACAATATGGGTATCAAACTGAAAGGGTTTAGGAAATTATATTGCGGAAAATATTTTTAGAGAGGGCTGCCACCTGTTTGAAAAATTTTATTGTATTAAATTGATAAAATAAATTAAATCTATATCCACATCTATACATATAAAAAAATTGTAACAGGTCGATGTCTGAACCTTATAGATATTAAAGAAAAATTAATATGGTGGGTTTTTATTAAAGCTACAGAGCCAAAAAAACAATTTTTAGAATTTTTGAATCTCTGTCTGTATATTTGTACGCACATCAGTCGAAAACATGGAATTGAATGCAGTTTTCACCGATGTATCGCTAGAGATCTAGCTTCCAATAAAGAAGAAAAAATTAGACAGTTGCCACCTGTGTTTAAAATTTCAGTTTAGGTCAATTGATACGGTAAAGTGAATACTGCAATATGGCTGTCAAAAGAAAGAAATTTACAAAGGCTTACAGCTGAAAATATTTTTGTGGAAGGTTGCCACCTATTTGGAAACTTTAATTTAATTTAATTGATAGCATAAATTAAATATTTCAATATTGGCATCAAACTAAAGAGGCTAGAAAATTTTAATGCTAAAATATTTTTAGGGGATTTGCCAACTGATTGAAAAATTGTTTTCATTAAAATTTGTAAAATAAATGAAATATTGCAATACGAATATTAAAGTAAAGAGGATTAGGAAGCTTACTTTTGAAAATATTCTTGAAGCGGGTTTGAAAACTTTAATTCAGTTAAATTTATAATATAAACTAAGTGTTGCCATATGGGAATCAAACGAGAGTATTTGAGAATAATAAAATTGCAACAGGCCGATATCTGTACATAATAGGTGTTAAAGAAAAATTAATAGGGGTTTATTAGATCAACAGAAGCCAAATATAAAATTTTGGTATGTTTGTCTGTATGTTTTGTAAGCGTGTCACGCAAAAGTTAATGTATGGAATTAAATGCAGTTTTCACCGATAGAGCTCTAATTGAAAATATAGAATCCATTTTTTTTTTTTTGTTTTAGTTTATCGTCGATCATTATTCCTAGGTATTTGAACGTATTAACTTTATCCAGTGCGTCGTTGTTTATATTTAGAGTTAGCAACGGACCGTTCTCAAAATTTCGCCTTGATATAACCACAAACTTATTTTTTTTTTTTATTTCTGTGTGGAAGGTTTTTCGCTAAAAAAATTAAAACTTTTAGTTGTTGCCGCCAAAAAATTAAGAAATCTGAGACGTCACGTTTTACAATTTCATACAGTTCTCTTTACCATGTATTTCACTAAACTACTAACGGCTGCAAACGGCTTTGTCTTTAATTTTCATTATGTGAAAATTTTGAAGAATTTTTTTGCTTTTACGAGTTTCGCTATAAACTGTCCTATCTAAATACATACCTATTTGCATAAAATGATAGCCGTTTTCGTTGTTCAGAATAAACTCAAAAAACACTGAATAGAGTTCTGTCAGATTGTCGGAGGTTATCTTACATACATATATGGTCCAATTACATGCTACTATAAAACTCGCTAGTTGGTGCTGGAGTAGAGTTATTTATAAAAATCGTATTTATTAACTGATTTCGTTCAAATTTTAAATGTGTGCTATGTACCTGTATAATGGAAAATTCTTTTGATAAAAATTTACCCTATTAGTGCCGCCGGAGTTCAAGTTGAAATTCATAACACGTATTCATTTTATGGTAAGCAATGGTTTTGCAGAAAATGAACCCAATGGATGGCGCTGCATCCGAAATGTATAGAAACCCCGTGTGGTTGGTCTGCTTTGGACCTATGTTTAAGTTATACGAATTTAGTTTTCAGATGTCTAAATGAAGGATGGGGTTAAGTTTTTCTGACGCCCTCATGCACGATCATGCGGTCTTGCATCTACCCAGAAATCAGTTCATAAATTTTACCACGAATTGGAAAAGTGGTGAATTAACAAAAAAAGATCACCGTAGGTATATCAGTTGCTTCATTTGAAAGATGCTTAAGAGATCACACGACTCATTTAGCAATGTACCGGAAAACTTTTCATCCTGTGGGACGGTGAGGATTCTTGGCCCTCCTATAAAGAAAACGCACTTCTGTGCTCTTGAGTTTCCCTATAAGAACTTTTATTGGCACACGCATCGCACCAATGTTGTAGTTGCAAGATCATACAAAAAGATTACGCATGCCTGGCAGAGATCTCACAGGTGGAAATAAGACCATCAGTAAAGCTCATGACACCAAAAAGGATTGGTATTCCATATGGTATCACAGCGTTACTATTATTGGCCTATGTGTGATGAGGATACTTCGCCTTAGTGGTTTCAACTTAAATCAAAAACTTTGACTTTACAGACAAATTTTGTTTTTAAACGCTCTTTTGCATTGGCTAACGCAAAAGCTCTTATTAGGCGCCGCGAAGTAACTGGGCATTGGCTAGTAATAAATATGTGACCTGGTCTACGAAAAGGGAGCTTACGTGCGAAAACTAGTTTTCTGTGAAAAAGCTGTTAAAAGTAAGCAACTCGTTTCGTTTACTCGTTTTTACTCTTATTTCTCTAGATTTTTAGTACATTTCTAAGCAAGTTAGGATTTTCTGCTTTTCACA